AAACGAAAATATAAGTTAATGTAAATCAACATAATCTTAAAACTAAACAATACAAAACAAATTTAAATGTAAATAAAAACATAAGTAATTAATATACCTAAACTGTAAAAAAAAAAAATGTAAATAAAAACATAAGCAATTAACATACCTAATATTTCTATAGTTTGCACACTGTCTATATAAATTTAAATTTACTATTTTACAATGACATATTAATTATTTGCAGTAGTCTCTAGTCGCCATAGTAAGATATTGTAACATTTAATATATGGTACATTATTAAAGGAAAGGCATGAAATAATAATTTAAACATTGATGTTAATATTAAAAGAGAAAAAAAGGTAAGTACGAATATATACAAAAAACAACTTGTCAGCTATACAAAGTCTACTAAAATTAATTAAAAATTTAAAGTGGATATTACACTTCACTTCTTTGTTATATCTATGGGATATTACAACTAAATTATCGTTGACAAGTGAAATTTGTAACATGGAAAGAAGAATCCAAAATTAAAATAGGATAATAAAAAAGTGGACCTTATAGCAATACTAAATCTAATATGTAAACTTAACAACGTGCAGAGATGTTATAACAAATATAGGATAAAACAGGTTGGGCATGAAATAAAGTTAAGAGAAAAAGAGAGAATGGCGAAAAGGTTTTACAAATAAATTCACTATTAAAAACTGCTTATCTAAAAAATTTGAAATTTTACCCACAGTAAGGGCATGAGTTTGTCCTCTATATACAAAATAGTGAAGGGGGGTCGTTACTCAAAAATAAAAGTTATTAGAGTCCAAACTTACAAGATGTGGGACGCCAGTTGCAAAAGTGTGGTTATTCCGAGGATATACACTTCCGGCTGATGATGCATATATTTTCGGAAAGAGCTTTCTGAGACGTCGCGAGCGACACCTTCAATTCTAGCCGCAGACTACTGGTTAGCGAAACCACCTACCACGTAGTTTTCGTTTTCCTATAATAACTCGGATGTCTCAGGTACAAAATTGGAATTTTTAGAGAATGATTTGTCCCCAGGTGGCGCACAAAACCACTAAAAAAATAACATGTTTGGCGACTAATCGAGTGCCGCAAGTGATTTACTCTATTGCTAATATGAGAAAAAACGGTTTTTCACTTAAAGAATCACTAAATATTATTTTGCTGCTAAAGAAAATTACACCACTAGATGCCTCCCGTTAATACGCAAATTTTGACACTAAGTACACTGAAATCTGTTTACTTTTTACCACTTTTCGAATTTTTTACTGCGGGGGCGTCACAGTTTCGTGGCGTTTCGCTTTTTTTCCTTGTGCGCACTTGTACGTGCACTTTATAGTTTATAGCTTTATACTATGGTATATTATCTATGCGCGGGGATAAGTTTATCTCCTATTTTATCTACTGTCGATATTATATCCACCGTAGGTCCATAGGATAAAACTTTGGCATAGGGATATTACAATTTTATCCCTTGTCAGTGGATATAATCGGGAGATAAAAATTGTGTCTCCTGCCCATGCTAGCCCGGATGGTTTGATGACTGCAACCTGACCTGATATTATTTATATTGAACATCCTACGCCCCCCTCCTGGAAGGAATACTTTTGAAAAATCGCTACATATCTATTCACTTATTTTATTAACAGAGTATTTTCTAAAAGTTAAAAAACAATCTATCGGCATCGTATTTTACAAAGTTTTGAATTTATTGAGATTAAATTAGAAGCCGTAAGATATTGTCTTAAAGTGTCAGCTAAAGCGATTTTTTTTACAAACCGCAACTCGTTATTTATAATGCGACAGTCTATGATGTTGAATCAAGGCGTGCGTCAAAACTTTACGTGACGTGAAGGTATTGCGTCAAGAGGTTCCTACGAGTATTTTTCCTGTCTTTATAAATACTTATTAGACCACGTTAATGAAAAAAAAATTCGTTATTATGAATGGCACTTGTTGAGGCCAGAACAGGAATGTAAATATATCTGCGGTTCTACTATATGCCGTGCAAGTATTAGATATTCCTGAAATGGAATAGGGTTCCTTTAAACCTTGTCATTCTATGATGAAGATTGATTCTGTGCACGCCCATATTGAAAGTTCGTCAAAAAACGTAAATATTTACAATCTTTCAAGATGGTAGATCGCTGTAAGAACGGCATCAAAATCATCGAAATGTGATGTTATTGAAATGGGCCAGCAAGTGTTTTAACGCTGTCAAGTTAAGAAAAAAGATTATTAAGAACAAAAAGACACTGATGGTAACAATATTAATTGGCTCAAGATCACTTTATTAAAATGTTATAAAGACAACTGCGATCATATATATTTTAAATATAACAAAAGCGACACAGACTTTAATAAATTTTAAGTTATACGAGTGACAAGAGGTGCTACAAACTATGATTCCATGGAACTGAAAAGAGAGTATGACTGCCCTATGAAAATATCGTAAAAAAAAATTACAAGATTTAAAAAGCCTTTGTGATCAAGGTAT